TTCAACTGTTTAATTTCCCACATTGTACTCTGAGCTCATTTGAAAATTGACGGAAATACTTACTCGCTTGGTTTAACTGTTCAACACATGCACCATAATGATGCTACTGGGTTAATCAGACCTGGTAGAATTTTACTTCTGTTACCATCATGCAGTACACATATGGACTACCAAGCGGGTACAAGAACCAACAAACAAACACTTCAATCACTACAGCCCAAGACAGCAAGCATACAGTGCCAATTCTCAATCTCCAAGATGCCTCCCCCTACCAATCGATCGATCAAACTCCCGCCGGCGTCCCGGGCACGCGCACGGCCTTCCACGCACACCCGGCCCCGTCCGAGTCGTCTGTGTACTCGTCTGCCCCATCAGCGTACTCGTCCCCCTCGTCCTCGTCCTCATCCGGGTCCTCCGGCCCCTCGCCGGCGCCGGCGCCGGTGCACCGGGCCCCGCCGACGCTGAGCGGCGGGAGGAGCAGCGGCGGCGCCGGCCGGACGCACACGGCGTCCCCATTCCCGCCTGCGCCCCAGTCCTTCGGGGTACCGCCGCCCGCGTGCACGCGCGTGCCCGGCACCGGCACCGGCACCGGGGCAGGGCGGGGCACAGTCGGCGGCGCGCGCCGGCCGGCGCTGGTGAGCGGCACGAACGAGGTGCGCGTGTCGGCGTAGGCCGCGGCGGGGTGGTGTGCGGACGGGACGAGCGCGGGGCGCGCCGGCCCGGGGCCAACCGCGCTCGCGGGCTCAGGCAGGGCCGGCCCGGCGTCGCCCGTCGTCGTCGTGGCCGCCCGGAGCGCGTCGGAGCGGTGGCGCGCGCCGAGCTGGTACGCGAGCACGCGGCGGAGCTCGCGCTGGACGCTCGGCGCGGAGAGCGGGACCGAGAAGCGCGCGGCGGTGGCGGGGGCGGCGTCGGCGGGCGCGAGGTCGAGCCCGGACTCGGCGGCGGGCGGGTAGGTGCAGTGCGCCTGGACGGCGGAGTTGGCGGGCGTGGGGGTGTACACGGGCAGGTGCGCGGGGAGGGCGTAGTGCAGGAAGGAGGGGCGGGGGTCGTGGGCGGGGCCGGGTGTGGCGGGGGCGACGGGAGGGTAAGTGTAGCCTGGTGTAGTAGTCGTCTGACGGGACAAACGGTGTGGGTCGTCGACGCGTGATCGATAGACTGTCAAAACATGAGTCAAACGCAGCCTGTCCACAGCGCACGAACCTGGCTTGTCCTCGCCCTCTCCCGTGTCTCCCGCCCCCGCCCGCGTGCCATCCGCATTTGGCACGAAGAACACGCCGTCCGGCGCGGCGTACACCGGCGCGCCGTCGAGCGTGTACAGCCGGCGACAGCGCGCGGCGCCGCACTGCAGGAACCAGTCGTGGCGCCCCTGCGCGTGGCCCGGCACCGCGAGGCGCACGCGCACGAGCGACGTGCACTGGCGCACGCAGAGCCGCTGCCCGGAGTCGCGGTCGTGTTCGTATTGGTGTTGGTCAGGGTCGCGGGGGAGGGGCAGCGGCGGCGGGTACGGCCTGGCGCGCGCGGACGGGCGGGCGCTGCCAGTGGCGCGCGCGCGCGGCTTGCGTTTGGGTGGGGCGGCGGAGATGAGCCGCCCGTGGCCGACCGCCGGGATTTGAGTGTCAGTGCCGGTGGTCGCTCGCTGTTGTCCGAGTCCCCCTCCTCCAACGTCCATCGTCCCCAGCTTGACGGGCCACGGCAGCGCCACCGTGACCGCCCCCCGCTCGTACGCATAGCGCTCGGGCTCTGCGTCTGTCGCCGCCATTGCCATCGCTATCGTGGGTTCGCAGGAGCGTCGAGTGGTGGCAGCAGAGGACAAAAGGCAGAGCCCACCTGAGAAGCGCCTCAAAAAAAAATGCCATCACAACGCAAAAAAGCCGCGGACACGGGCACGACCCTGGCTGGCCCCACCGCCCCTACGCATACGTACCGCAAAGGCTACTGCCTGACAGCACCCGCGCCTTCCCGGCTTCGTCTTCCCGGCTTCGCGCGCCATCGCCAATTTGGACGCTTCTGTCCACGTACGGCGCCTCGTTCCCCCTTTGGAAGCCTCGCGGCCCCGTTTGGGAGCCTCGCTGCCCTAACCTACCCAGGCGCCCACTCAGGGCACGCCATCGATGGGCGATGCTTTTGTGGGCGGCACTGATGGTGATGGTGATGGAGGTCGAGACCAGAACAGCAAAGAAGGATGATCGCTTGATCGGCGTTTCGCGGCGCCGGCGCGGCGTCCATATGCGCATCCGGGACACGTGACGCGCGACGCCTACGCCCCCAGCCCCAGCCCCAGCCCCAGCCCCAGCCCCAGCCCCAGCCCCAGCCCCAGCAGGACTTTCCACGCGATTGCACCCCTGCTTCACTTATTATTATTATTATTTTCAAAAGGGCTGTTTCAAAACACCAAAAACACCTGTTTTAAGTCTGTATGCGTGCATGTGTGGGAAAAGGTCAGTGTGCTCTTAGTGTTAAGTCCGGCTGAAAATCAATATTGTCCCAGCCTGGGCTAGGGGTGCCAGCCGTTGCCCTTACAGCAACGGCCGTTGATCTGATCTTGACAGCAAACCGGTTTCAAAACACCCCAATAAAAACCAGGCCCTACTGACAGGTAGGCCACGGCAACAGCTGTTGGAAATACAGATGTGATGGCCGTCGCGGCCTCACAATGGGAACCAGGCATTTCAAACCTGATTTGAACCACAATACAGCCCAAGTTGCCGCCAACCTAAGGCAATCTTGTGCCAGATCGATTATGGCCCTGTGGATGCAACGCACATGTGCGGGAACTTGTTGGATGAAAGACTTCAGGGGAGATCGGCATACTTTGCAAACCAACCTATGCAATGGTAAACGTGATGAGCATTCACATTTGATCATATTTTATAGATGGCTGCTCAGATTTAAAAAAAAAACCATCAATCAAATCAGGACGGACCATGATTCCTTGTTCAAACTTTTTCATCTATGATCTAAGACAATCATTAAACACTTTTTTGTTCTCAATAAAACACAATGCCCTCCATAGTTACATTGATCCTTTCTACTGCTTTGATTATGGTTACTGTCCACTTTCACACTAGAAATTCAAATATTATCTATTTAAATCTATATTTTCTAGTCAAATCAACAATATCTTTTTGTTTAGATGGAAACAGAAACCAGACAAATGCAAACAAGTTGCTTTTTGTGCCCCTCTCAGCCTTAAACAAGTTATCTTTCTCTAAATAGAGCCCTTCTGCATGTCTTTCTGTAAATTAACACAGGTTATTTTTTGCTCTCGGTTTTAAAAGTTCCTTTTTGGGCTATAAAAAGAACTCCTTTCAATACTACCCGCTACAGAAAGGTGCACTGAAAGATGTTCTTCAATGTTCTTTTTGTCTTTAGTTGTCACACAACAAGGCTCTTTCTTCCTGCAAGAAATAGTGATGCTCAGGTCCGGTTTGGTCCAGTTCTCGGCCACCTTTAATCGAACCGAGAACCCGGGGTTTGGTAAAGAGCCAGATTTGCCGGACCTGAACCCTGAACACGGGTTCGAACTAGGCCCTGAACCGGTGTTTTTAGCCTAATTCAGTTCAAAACCGGCCTTGGCTGACCCTGAACCCTGAACCTGGGTTCAAATGACACGTGTGAATTGAATAAAATACTATAGTATTCTTATAAGCTTTCTTAGCAGCAAGCAGAAGCAGAAGCAGTGTAAGGCGAGCTTGGAGCCTGAGATCATGGTTCTAGCAAAGGAGGATCCAAAGAGAAAGAACTCTGGAGTCCTGACAGGAGTAGCTGACTATATATTGCACTCTTGATCTGCCACAAGTAATGCTAGTCTTGTGGCACCTCAGTCAATCAATACGGCATCTATTAGCCAAGGGTACCATGCAAAAAAAAAAAATCTGAGACATCAGGTTGAAAAAGTGAATCAAGCACTGGCAGACCCTCCCTACCCTATTTACATAAGCATGACTAAGGCACATAACTTCCAAAAAAGGAAAGCATTTGTCATCATAAGTCACAGAGCCAGAAAACAAAATAAGTATCTGTATACCATATGCTGGATCTCCTGGCAAGCAGGATCAGAGCACTCAACCCACCCTACCCTATGTCACATGTGTGACCTGATGTCTCGGCTTGCTGATCCGCGGGCCCCTTGCTATTAGCTTATTATTGCTAGTATACACCTCTTCTGTTCTGCAATAATATCATGGCAATATCTGTTGACTCATTCAAGGGGGGGTCCAACATTCGAAACACGGATATAGGTCAGAAAGTTTTTTCTGACCCTCGGGGGACCCCCCTCCCCCACCTGCCATATAGGGTACTATGTTCCCACAATTAACATCATGTGGCCACTGATGTGATCAAAAAGTGGCACAAAAATTTAATCTTTATGGAACTTTTTTTTTCAAAAGATTTATGTATGTAATACTACAGTATTTTCAATGTCTTTACACCAATATAAGGCTCAAATCTTTCATATACAAAAAGTTTTTTTAGCCCGCTCCCTCTACCTCATATGTCTGATAAGAATCTTAAACCCCCTTAGACTCATTCTTTCAGGCCTTGATTTTTTTCTTTTTTCTTTTGAATAATTGTGAGGACTATTCAACAAACAACTATTACCAAAATAGTTTGCCTACTTGGAGTGACCATCATTCTAGATTACTTTCTCTGAGTTATAGAGATTACAGGGAATAGAATTTGCATGTCATACAGAGCAATTGCATTGAACTTCTATCACATAGTACTATAACACATACCAGTCTATAAGTAGGGTTTCAGGTCACTTTTCTTTAACATTTGGATTGTGATGCTAACTGGCACAATCCCACAGTTACAAAAATAAGTATAGATGCTATCCTGATTATTTATTATTCTAAAATTTGCTATTGCAGCACATAAATGTCATTCCTGATAGAGTACCTCGTCAATCCTGATCATTATACAGAGATAATATGTACACAAGGGAAACCGGCTGATTAGCAGCCCATAATAACAGGTGTAAGCTCCTGTCCATGCCCTCAAACGGCCCGCAACCGCACCGGAAGGGCCGCGGGCGGCGGCATCCCTTCATGCGGGTCGTCCGCGAGGATCCTCTTCAAACTCAATGCCCCCTTCGTGCTTTTCCTAGGAGGTGAGGTCGCACTGGTTTCCCCGTATGCCCGCTCCTTGCCCTTCCCGCCTGCCACTGCTGGTACTGCCGCTGGCCCCGCCCGCGCCGACCCGCGATCGCAGAAGCTGCATTCCCGCCCGCTGATGACGTACCGCCCCATGCCCTTTCCTGCGATGCGGCACGCTGCGCACACCGGCGGCGGCGGGGGCAGCGCCGGTGGCGTGGGCATGGGCGTGGGCAGTGGTTGAGCCGAGGCGTGCTGCGTTTCGGCTGGAGCGTGATCGGCCGATTGCGGATGTGGCGATGACGGATCGGGCGCCGGAACTGTCATCTGCTCTTCGCCAGGTGACGTGCTTGTATTCTCGTCAGCGACGCGAGAGGCATGTGCGTAAGACGCTGCGGGCGACCTCTCTGCTGTTGAGGACGCCGCGCTGTCGGTTGTGAGCTTCACCACGTCCGCCATCTCCTCGTCGGAGTCCTCGGCCGACGGGGGAGCAGTCTGCGGCGATCCGCAAGGCGCTGATGGTGCCGTGATGGGCCTTATCGTCGACATAGAAACCGTCGTGGACTCCGATGTTGTCGAGGGCGAAGTCGAGCGAGAGGGTGGGCCATCAGAGTTGGTGTCCTGCCTGCTGCGCTTGCTCGATTCCGTCTCCGAGTCCGAATCGTCTTCACGTTTCCGCTTAGCTGGCAGCACCTGAGCTTGGCGCGGAGCGGCAGGGCCCATGAGAATCGGCAGTCTCGCGGGCGTCGGCGTGGAGTTCTGTCACGAGGCTCAGGAAGTTACACAAAATGGGAAGTACCAAAACGCACGAGGTAGTATCCCTGGCCACAATATCCACACCGCACGACCCCACCCACATCAGGGTAGTGGTACTCGGTCCAGCGCGGCGGGAGCTGGTGACACGAAGCACAGTACATTGATGTAAGCGGGATCTGATTGGCCTTATCAAAGGGTGGTGGAGTCGGGTGGGAGCGCGGAATGCCGACCGTGGAAGCCTCGCCACTGCTCGCTGTAGTTGTAGGCGTCGCGGGTGTCGGACTCGGGGTAAACTGCGCAGCCGTCATAGGTGCCGGCCCCGTGTTCGCCGTAGCGGGGTTTGCCGAGGCTGCTGACGTGGCCGATGATGGTGGGGTCACTTCCCCCTTCTTCTCCGAGTCTGAGTCCCCCGCTTTACCCCGCTCCTTGCGGGGAGGGTCCAGTTTGGGCGGCACAGCAAGGAACTCCGCACGGGTTGAGCGGTCGTTCAGGTCTGCATGAGCTACGATGACGTGTGAGAAAAAAGAACGGACGAAGAACGGCGACGAGGCGACCCACTGAATGAGACAGCTCCGTGCTTGTCCGTCAGCCGTTTGAATGAAAACCTCTGTCGACAGTGAAGCGTGCTTTATGTTAGGGTGCCATCAACCACCCACCTGCAGCGTTCTGAAGAAAGTCCGCTTTTTCTGGCTGGGAAAGAAGACGGGTAACACGTCCTTTTCGAAGGCGTCCACCTTCTTGATGACCATGCTCTTGCCATCGCTGGACCAAGATATCGTTGCATCGTCTTTCGGACGTTTGGAAAGCATGCTGTGCAGATCATGTTCCGTCAGCAAAAAAAGGGGCATGCGCCGCATGGACGGAGCGGAAAGATAAAGGGAGAGCTAACGCACTCGAAGAGCTCGCCGAGGAAGGTGTGGCGGGACTGCAGCACACGTGGCGGAGCGCTGGGCGATGTCGTTGTCGCTGTCCCGCGTTGCGCAGCCTTCGGCGGTGACACCGGCGGTATCGATGCCACGCGTGTGCCTGGGTCGCCCGGTCCGCTCAGTGGGCGGGGAGCCCTGACTGGCGGGACGAGTAGCTCGAGCTGTTGTGCATGTGTAAGACCCGCCATAACCGGTGGTTCAAAAATGACGGGCGGAGGAAGAGGGAGCAAGGCGAAGGTCGGAGGAAAAACCGCTTGCCTTGTGACGCACCTGTCATCCGTTGCCAATGCCGCACCCGGGTGCCGCGCCGATGCGCATCACATCTTGTTCCTAGTTTACTGGTGATCTCGCGCGTCGAGTGGCCCATTGCACGCATGATTGCTCGGTGTGTCTCGTAGATGACGCCGTGGACATTGGAATCATGATAGGAAAACTCCCAGCGAATGCAGGACGGCATCAAACCCAGCTTCACGGTGGCATCACCATGTGTCGGGACTCGTCAGCTGGAATGTGTCAAAAGCTCCTTATCCGACTGACTAGGATTGTCAGTGATGAATTTGACTGCACCAGCAGAAGGAGTGAACACTGTGAAGCTTCCAGGAAAATATCAAATAGAGTGGATGTGTGACTGTAGAGCTATGTGGTCATGGGCTACATGTATATGTATTTTAAAATGGAGATAGCCCGAGTGAGATAATGGGCAAATGCCAAGGATTATACAAGGGTTATAACTAGTGCAGATGAATACATAAGGTTAAGTAGACTCTATGTCAGCATTTATAATATATAAGTATATATATTATACAGCAGTTTCATTGTCATGATATGATGTCCACTCACTTCAGAGCTAGGAAAGTTAGTAGACATAAGTCTAGAGTTAGTGGAGATAGAGAAAGCCAGAAATGCCCAGAAAATTAATACTAAGAATTGAGTGGTCCAGATAAATGCATTCACTAGGAAAACTTGCCCAGGGTCATTGGGATTACCTGGTCAAATATTATAAGCTGATGCAAGAGAAGCTCCCATATCCACCCCGGAAACTCTTTAATTACCAGACTGGCTATTTTGTAAAGACTGAAGGGGGGGGGATGATAAACGTGCTCTAATGCCCTCTGTCGACAAGGACGTTGACCTTGAAGGGGGGTAATGTCAAACTCTGGGTTCAAGAAACCTTTTTCTTCGCTGTTTAAACCTTTTATTTTGGCCCTGGTTAATAAGATAAGACAAGGAGGAGATAAGATAGACCATAAGATGGTGATTGGATTATTAGATGTCGATGTTGATATTGATTGACAGCGTGGAGTTGGACATGAGGCAAACAGCACATAAAGGCATAACTAAAGTATGATGTTATTGCCTCTTGTATTCGGCATAGTAAACACCTGGTAGTAGTGTATATAAGTATTTTGTCTTGTACCCCGGTCTTCAGATTGCATCATCTTTATGATATGTTTTCATGGTGCTTCTTGCTAGCCTTCACTGGCTAACTGGCATCCTCTGAATTGGTGTTGTTCGTGACACCTTTGGGGTATTTTGCATAGAATTAGATAGATTCTAGCGAGGAATGGGCTCTGCAAGCTTTTCCTAGTCAAGATTTCAGAATTGCTAAGTACAATCTCGTGTATTTTGACTGGTTTTTTATAGATAACTCCATAGTTGACCATTTAGGACTCATGTCAACTCTAAGAAATGAAATTAATAAAAATAGTTATTTCCTGGTCTGTCCCAGACTGCAGCTTATTATTGCCACAGTTTAACTAAGTTGCTGTGCTATTGTGTTTCATTGAGTGTCTAATTGTTAATGCAACAGTTGCTGTAGTTGCTGCTCATGTGTTAAAATAAAAAAAAATAAAAGCAACCAAGAAAACACTATACTAATATGGTACTTGTTTATCAATACTATAAGCCGTGCCATAGTAATAGGATGTGGGTAAACTGTAGTTCCTTTAAGAATCTGTATTTAATAAATACAGTATTTTCATGCCTTTAATAAGTCGATTTATTGTTAATGTGGGTTTGGCTTTACACCAATTATAATAGATATGCAGGTAACTTGGTATTACTTCTGTTTTGCCTATGAAATCAGGTTATTAGCCTAAATAAAATGTTTAAAGAGGAACTGAACTGATAATGTGAAACTTCTCTCAGCCAAAGTCAAGCTCAACCTTCTTATGCAAAATAAAAGTATCCTCTGAAACATTAAGCAAAAAAGTGGCAGGTGATATATTTTAAAATAGAATGCTAGTGCTTCAGTAGCTCCGTCTAAGTAGATGGCTATGCGATAAGAATAAGGGGGGAGGGGGGTATGATTGAGATCATGTTATGATTCTGAAACTGGCAAGCGGAAGGTAAAGCTAAGGGAATAATATAAAACCTTAAACAGTAATAAGATTTTAAGCTACATGGTCTTAGAGCTATCTTGCCACAAGTTGCTAGTCAGAGTATTGTTCTAAGGATTCCACTAGCTCTTTTTAAGACCACTAGAGGTACAGAATTATATCACTCATAATTTTAACATACTTTACAGATATGTAATATATCCACAAAAGTATAATTTAGATAATATATTCATTACTTCTTTTGAACTGATTTCAAGATGGTTTATGGATAAACTTAGAAAGTCTAAAATTTATAAGGGTCTAGGCTTTCTAAACACTGTATAAGCTGCAATCTAAATAAGACACACAGGTTATAGCCTATAATAAGCAGATAGATCTTTTTTCCCTATAAGTTACAATAACAGTAGGAGCATATTACTCTTATATGATTCTAAATTAACCTGATTCTAGCATAGTTCCTACGTCCTACATAACTTTAGCATTTTAGTGTTGCTAAGGTTGAAACTTATTATAATGCTTGTATTGCTAGCTAACCAAGCCTAGTATTGAATACTGGGTTATGCTGACATAATATTGATTTAGTGTCTTTATAGGGTTTATATGGCTTACTATTACACTATTTGATCTCATCATCAATTTTTGATAATATCATCAACCTTCACCACATCACACCAACCAACCCCAAACAAAGGCTAGCACAGCCTTACTATATTTGGTTAGATGATATCATCCATCAATTTATCAATGAGTCAGACTGAGTCATATCAATCTGAGTCAGAGTGAGTCATGGTATGAGTTGGTATGAGTTAGAGTGAGTTATATTAGTCAGCCTGGAATTAGTATATAAGGAGGACACTAGTGACCTTCTGCCTCTAGCGCTTTTATTCTCTTTTCCCTCCTACCTCTTGGGAAATAGTCATCTGGTTGTATCATACCTATCAATACAACTTAATCCCATTATTAACCACTACGAAGTTAAATCATTTAATTATCTATTAAGTTGGCCCATCATCTGATCCGGCTTTGTTTGTGACACTTACCTAAGAATAGGTACTAATCCTGGCTATGTAGACTACATAATAAGGTCTTTAAGAACACGAATCTAGTTTGCAGATCTAAAGATTGACCCAGCTAAGAAAAACTGTTACTAGATTAGGTTTTATTATCTTGGGCTCCCGGCTATTGCAGAGATTTTATGAAAGCTTTGTAGAAATATAAATAGGTATTAAAAGGAATATAATAACATAATTAAATGTCAGTCTATTGATTTGAAATCATTGGGTTACTAGATTCTAAACAAACTTGTTAGACTTGTGTTCTTATCATCTCTCCAGCCCCATTGCTATCTGTCTATAGCTTCAATATGTTAGCTTATCTAACTTGCTGCATTATGTTAATTATGACATTGTGATAATAGGAACTATGTTTGTAAGCTGTTGGAGCTTTAATGAGAGCTTTAGGCAGTGCAGCACTAGTAAAGTTGTGGAAATTTCCAGAAAACATTTCCTTATAAAATAAACCTTTTGTACTAGTAGGAGTACGCTATGACAATTCTCACCATATCAGCTAGTGTCTTATAGGTAAGTGCTAACAAAGGCAGGTTAGATATATCAGCAAAGCTTGCAATACTATTGAGAAGCTTGAATAGCAAATTTAGGAGTACTAGATAAGATAGAGTATGTTAATATACTAGGAAAGTAAACTAATAAAGGAGTTTAATCAAGACCTCAACCTTATTAATCTACTAATCCACTAATTGTTTATATATATATGTGTATGTTATGTGTATATGTGTTTAGGGTTTGAGTTGCAGAAAACAACTAATACTAGATTTAGAATATTTAAATATAGTAATAAAATCTATTATAAAATATAAGAGAAGAAATAATTAAGCTCAACCTCCAAAGTGCTTTACAAAATGAACTAGAAAATATATCTGTTTTTGATACAAGATACTAACTCTAATATACATATAAACTTGCTTCCTAGCCACTTATTTCTTACTATAAACAAGCTTTCTAGCTTTCTTGTCCTTGTTTTTGCACTTGTTCTAACTGAACTTAACCTAACTTAACTGCTGCCTTGCTTTCTAGTTACCTAAATCGGATTGTTAAATATAGTAAGAGGTGGGGTATAATTTAATAATCTATTTACTACAATTAACCTTTTTATTTACTACTTAGAAATTGATTATATATTGTAAAAATTATACTAATAATATAATAAAGAAGCACTATGAATCAATTTAAGTTACTATACCTTTCTAAACAGTGTAATATATATGTCTGCTGGCTAAGAAGAACCGACATTTCGATTAGACGGTAGCTCGGAGGCGGTGACATGCCCAGCGGCCAACGCGAGCTTGCGTCCTAGCTCTGATGTTGCAGCAGGCCTTTGAGCGGGCGTCTTCAGTGAATAACTCAGATGCGGTGTTGGTGTGATAATAGGCAAGTTAACATTGTTCTGTCAGTCAATCATGTGCGGCAGCCCATACGGCACTGGAGCAGTTTCACGCCTAGCTGCTGCACGATTTGCATTGTCATCTCACAGTTGCTCGGCTTTGTCAGGGTTTGTGGGAAGACCTTCCAGAACATTTGACGGGTGGCAGGCTATAAGTCAAGCAGCCAAGGTTTGCCTAGCGTGGTAGCACCATATGTCGAGGCTGTGTGATGGCGGAGATGATCAGCATCAGAGGTGAGAGGTTTTGCTATTAGCAAGATGATGACATCTGTGTAGATTTCAAGTGTGTGATGCGTGGAGATGGCGCCCAAGTACAGAGTCAGAGAATGTGCAGCCGGATGACTCAAGATGTTAGAGTTGTAGTAGAGAGGAAATGACTGTAATACAATGGGGGCAAAAGAAAACATCCTGGGCTCTGGAATAAAGGAAAAGGGGGTTTCTGGCTGAGTCTACCAGTGTAAAAGAATAGAGTAGTTTTTGTTGATGATCAAAATTACTTAAAAAGGCAATAGTGAGGTTTAGTTCACAAACTCCTACAAATCAAATAGAAACCTAGGAACTAACCCAGTCTGCTACCAAATTCAGGCAAGAGCAAGTCTTTGTAACAGAATGATAGTCTGTGTCTACACCAATAGGTCAAGCCTTACCAGTGTGACTGCAAGATAGGATGATTTAAGTGCAGGGCTTTAGTATGATCCCACAGAAGGTTTAGAAGCAAGTAGCTGTCTAAAGTGCTGAGAGTGTAGTGGATTAAGATGTGTCTGGACAATGGCCCAGACTGGCATTTATATATGCTACTGTGAACATGAGTTAACTATCTACTGAGTCATCGTAAGTCAAAACATGACTTGAGTATTGAGTCACTGAGTTGATCGAGTCTCTGATCAGATCAATTGATGGAATGCGTCATTATCCATCACACTTATATAGAATTGAAAGGATTGTTAAATCAGTAACATTTTAGCTTAAATGTAAAAGAAAACAGTATTAAAACTAATTTCTTAATCTAAAATAATATGAACCTAAGCTGAAACCTAAAGACTAGGAAGAGATCAACTCTAATAATAAAAGGCTTTTAGCTAGACTTCTCTCAAATAAAGATTAAACTCTATCTTCTTTTCAGTCTTTGTCTCAGTCTGTATTTTCAGCTCTAAAACACCTAGGTCATTCTTATCTTTAGCCTAAGGTAGTCCTCATAAAATGTAGTATTAGCAAGAAGCACAAGCCTATCAACACTTATGCTAATAAACCTGGAAAACAACATAAGTTAAAAGTAATATTAAGGATTAACATATTACATCAGGAAAAAGTGGGATTCCTGTTGAGAGCCGGTGACAGCCGAAATGATTTTATCATTTGCCGGGGCTGGCAAGGCTCTCAACAGGCCTTAAAATAGCTCTCACCTGGTTTTTATTTTGTACCATGAATATATGATTATTACACTTGAATGAAACTCCTGTTAAGAGTTTGCAAGGAGATAGCCAGGTTTGGTTAGGGTTTGACAGTATAGCCCAATGCTTCTGTGGGCATTGCAGTTGATTGAAAACTTTTCAAGACATATTATAAATTACCAGAAGCCTTTTGACACTTCTACAGTGACACCTCTGCTATTACTCAATAGAGCCTGATGCTAAGTATTGGTAGTCAGTACCTAGTCCATCTGCCCCATCCTCAGGGCCCAGATCTACAGGACCACCTTCTTCATCATCCTCAGAGTCATAATCAGAGTCATGACCATCCAACAGCTCCTCTGCTTCAGAATCATACTCTTCTCCCTCTGCATCCAACTCATCGTCCATCTCCAAAAACTTGATATTCAACTCAGGCACTGCATGGGCAGCTGCTGGGACAGGCTGCTCTGGTTCATCTTCCCAATCCTCCTCTTCAAGCTCCTCCTCTGGTTCATGTGGCGGATTGGGAACAAGAACTCGGTAAGAATGGCTGACACCACCGCCAAGGTAGCGCATTAACATATCCCAGTCAACAAAGCTAGGTATTGATCAGTATCTGCAAAGTGACAATGGCTGACTTACAAATTGACATAGTGGTATTGTCAGTCATTGAAATCGCCCTTGCGTCGCCCAATTGACTGATAGTGAACCCGCGCAGTGACTCCGTGTGCATATGCGGGAACAAGATGTGCCTCGCGAATGACCTCGTCTGGGTTGATGAAGCCATAGGCATTGTCGTCGTGTTCGGGGACAAACTTGATGTGATGCAGGCGTCGACGCTTGAAGCCGCCCTTGAACGTCTTGTCGAGGCGAAAATGGCGAGCAAATAGCAGGCAGACAGTTTTCGCAGGTGTTAGCTGGCCGAACTCACAATACTGGACCTCGCAGTGCCATACTCCAATAACACGGGCGTAGGAAAAAGGATGCTCGTCTGCAGAGTCTTCAGGGGCGAGGGTGAGAACATCAGCATGAGTGCGTGGATTCATCGAGTCTTGGCCACGGCGGACATCGTAGCTGGTATAGTTGACTTGTAAGACTTTGTGGATAAAGATCCGTTGATTAGGGATATGGAGACGGTTGCGGTCGAGGGTGGTGTATTCCGACCCATCACTGGAGTACTCTGGGTGGAGAAGACGACCCAGTAGATAAGTCTGTAGCTTGACACGAAAATTCTATTAGAGGTTAATATGGATTCTGCAAGGTGGTAGTAAGAGTACCTGGAACGCAGGGTCACCGAGATGCTGTTCGATCCAAAAGTCGAGATTGACATGCACATGTCGGCTGAGCGAGATATGAATATGCTCCTCAGGAGGCGTATATGGGAGGGCCTCTGCCTGAGCAAAGCTGAGAGTGGGGTCCTGCTTCTTGGTCGCTCTGGCTGTTGTCGCCCATTTTCGCTTTGCACCCGTCAGGACCGGGTCGTCGACTGGGGGCACAGGCTGTGGCAAAGTCCGAACATCATCCGCAATTTTCAGAAGAGCTGCCTCCCGTCGCTCGAGATTACTGATCTGAGAGGTCGCGTTGTTTTTGCTTGTTCGCTCATAGAAAGCCTTGCCCTGTTTATGCTCTAGCTCTCCCTGAAGAGTATGAGTTTTGTTCTGGGACAGAACATGGTGACTTACCGTTGTGGTCGAATAAGAATCAGTTGTTCCGATGAGCGGTATGGTCGGAACGTAGTCACCGAGAAAGTGAGTCTTGACCGTATTTGCATTGAAAGTTTTGACCTTAGTCCCAGCATTTGTCTCGGGTGGTATTGCTGAGCCAGTTTAAGCCGCATCTCGGACCTTGCGAGCGTACTGTCTCCGTCGCGCTGCTTCTTCACGTGGCAGTTCTTTGGTAATGAAGCTCCTGCATGTTGTGCGGGTGAAACGTCGAAGCTGATAGCCCAGATCGCGGGTAGCTTCCTGCAGGTAGTCGAGGGTTTGGGCAGTATGCATTCGGAGCTTGGCGAGGCCATGCCAATATGCAAAGGCGAACAGAAGATCAAGAATGATCTCGTTGTCCTCTGAATACTGCTCAGTATCCAGCAGGTTCTCGAAAACCGGTAGCGAACACTGTTGGGGAGTTCAACTCAGACCACATATATAATTCAAGAATACTTGCCTGAAGCATGTCTTCATAATCACGGGCGGCAAGCTTCTTCATTGCTGACATATTATTGGTGAACCGCCGAATAGTGTCTCGACCAAATGTGGGCTATAGACGGTAGCTAAGCTTGGTTAGTCGTAAAGAAGAGGATCTCAAGGAGCCACACACCGGAGGTTAAGGTTTGTGATAGCGTCGCCACCGTGTGCATATAATATGCGAATGAGGTGGACAAAGGCACCCTTCCACACGCCCAGCTCGAATTCGTGCATCAAATCGGGCGCCAGCATCCGGTACATATCCCACGTAAACGACTCCATCTTCAGAAATGCGTTCTGGAATCGGTCAATTAAGTCTCACTGCAAACCGGTGGAAACTCACCTCGGTCGGAACCCAAGATTCAGGTTGCAAAATGCCTTCAATCTGCTTGCCCTTGATGACACGTTGGGCACGGTAGATGAAATAGCGAGCACGAGCGATCATCGACTGGTATTTCGGGGTTAGTTGTCAAGCCAATTTGATACGTCGGTTGGCGTCAGTGACGGTCCCAAACTCATGAAAGAGTTCGGTCGGAAGCGTGCACCGTGGGCATTGACAGCGACCAAGGCCACGAATTGCAGCCAAAAGGACTCTGTCAATAGTCAGTTATGTAGGGTAGTTATGACAAAGGATCTCTTACTTCTCCGGGTAGTCAGCAGAGTACGTGAAAAGTAGAAAATAAAAGCAGCGAAAAACCCCGTCGGGACAGAGGATAACAATACCATGTTTGCAGGCTTTGATAAATCGGTCGTTGATTAAGAAACGCCAGATGGCATGCATCAGCTCCCGCCGACAGTGAGCAATCACCTCAGGACGAGGTGCCTCCCCGGTCTCCACCTTGAACCAGTCGAAAAAGGTATCAGGGAGCTGCAAACCGTTCAAAAACTGGACCATCTCTGATGAACCTGAACACAAAGCTTGGGCATGTACGCGACATGATGACACGCATGTGTCCGTGGCTTCCTGCGCAGCCATTTCGAATAATTGCCAAAAAAACAGATAAAGCGGCCATAAGGACGCCGTCCCAAAATTGGCGAGATGGGTCGAGTCTGACCAGAACATCAGCGCAACAATGCAGCGCTCGAGCGAACAGTTAGGCTCGGGAGGTTGCCGCTGTAGCTTGTCGTATTCTGTAATATACGCGTCTGACAAGTAGATTTCATCATAAACTCAATGCGGTGGACTGCCGTCTGCTGGCTGCCAAAATTGTCGGAATGGGGTAAAGTGGAATGCTTTGGCCGTTGCAGATTCCAACGTTGACTTGATGGTCTCGGTGAGATCGCGGAAGTGAAGACCTGGGACTGGGAAGTATAACAAAGGGTCATTGTCGTTGCGTTTGCGATGGTCGGGAACGGGGATATCGACGCTGGCAGTTTGCCAGCCGTCTTTGACTTCACTGGTTACTCCACGTAGCAGCCTGTCAAACTGTTCCGTTTGGGCTTTGAGATCGAAGTCCATGAGATCTGCGAGCTTGAAGAGCGGCGACTTCAAGTAGTCAAGAAGCTTCAGACCTTCACCAATACTCTTCGAGCCCGAGCCCGTCCACATCCAGTTCATAAATCCCCATACCGTGTAATTGCCGAATGGCCCATAAGATCCACTGTTCTTGGCGCTTGCGAGTGCATCTGCTGCCGGCGGAGTTGAGAGGGGAGACAGACGTGTCTCACCATCTGGTTGTCGGTTTGGTTGCACAGGCGCAGGGAGGTCAGAGAGGTCAGACAGTATGATGTCGGTGTCGGGGTTGTGGGAAGGAATAGACAGGTACTCGCGAAACAGGCCAAAGTTGTTTGGCGCTGTTCAGATGGGCCATGCTAACGGTTCTGGCTCTGACGCGCGCTATTATCGACATTTTCTGTATCTTCTTCGGGAATGTCGGGAAGAGAGGCAGGCGGCTCAGGAAGCTGCTGCAGAAGCTTCCACGTCAACCGCTTCTTTCGTGCTGGTCGCCCAAGGTTTGACTGAGAAGAGTCTGTTGGTGGATCGTGCAAGTGGGCCGGCAGTGGGGTATTGGACACAACATCTAGCTGTGGGTCAACAGAGTTGGGTGGCTGCGAAATGACAGGATGCTGTTCGATATCGACTTTGCATGTAATGAGATAGCGTGTTAATCCACATATGATAATGACATACCTGCATGGTGTCCTCCGCTACCAGCAGTGCAGAAGCCTGCTCTTCCTCAAGCCTTTGTCGCTTTCGAAGCGCCAGCGCCGCCTCCAGCCCCTCGTCAACATCATTGAAAGATGAACACGTTCGCTGGTGAATATCGTGCGCTTTCTTGCTGTCGTAATATTTGGGGCATGGACCATGTGGTTGGCAGTAGAATAGTTGAGCCATATACAAGAGCAATAAAAGCCCTTGAGCGAGTAGCCACAGCTCCAGCGTTGCAGCGCAATTGTCTGGTCTGAGTCGTGGTGTCAGATGAGGGGTTATCGATGACATCAATTCCTTGTGGGATTTCGGTATCGAGGACACAAGCTACACAGGACGAATATTCTCTTTCTCTAGACCCCCTACCCGAGCACCCGGTGCACAAAGCACCTTGCGCAAGTATTTGTGCTCAGCCCGCAGCTGCTGACACTTCTTCTCCAGATAGTTGAGTTGTTTCTTGATAGCGCGTTGCTCTGATGCCGCACGAAGGCGCAAATGGGATGGCATCTAGGTGGAATTAGACCTTATAGGCATCAAGGCTATTGAACCCACCTCCGATACGCGGTAAACCAGGTATCGATGACGCCGCTTTGGTCCATGAAGCTTAGCAGTAGCAGAATTTTTCGCTACTTGTGCTCGTTCGCCAGGCGGAACATAGGGTAGAGCACGGGTGCGGGGGAGCCCGGCCGGGTCACCGGGTCCGGGTGCTCCGGGTCCGGGTGCCGGGACAGTGTCCGAGCATATCCGGTGAGTCCCGGAACCCGGGGCGGGTTTACCCGGCCGGTGTGATCGGCCGGTGTGATTACGAATCTTGAATGACCAACAAGTCGGCTCTCGCCACGTCATTCTCTCCTCCTCCTGCGACAAGCGGCCTAGGCCCTCCTCTGGCCCAGGTACCACCTCCTCTTCGCTATACTGCCCCCTCTGAGCAGGTTCAGGAGCAAAAGCCAAGCCAACGCGAAAGCTTAAAGCCTTGCAAAAATGGCTGCCAAAGACAAACTCACCCATGTCGTCTTTCGGTGCTCGGATGAGCCAGGCGGCCTCCAAGGCAGCCTCCAAGGCCGCCAGCTCTGTCTCCCGAGCCGGCAAGTCGGTTCGAAAGGCCGCTTCTCGTGTCACTAGCTCCATCTCTGGTATGTCTCCCATTTTCTGTCAAATATCATACTGATTTCATGGCTAGGTGGCTCCCGCAAAAGCAAATCGTCATCTTCTGATGGAGAACGGGAGAAATCGGCAGAGGACGCTATTGACATCGACAAAGAGAATGCTGACGGTGAGTTTGGCCTTTCAGTCATGTATCTTGTCTCACAATGTCGTTCAGCCAAGAAGTGGACGTCTGGGGTCTACCAGTTCTTCGAACCAGATGTCAAACTGCTCATTGAAACGGATGGTCGTCCCTGGGCAGCTCAGCTTTGCGACGGATGCATGGACATCGCCTAATCACCGTGCATTCGTTGCGTGGACCGTGCATCTTCAGCACGAAGGGCATCCACTTGTCTTCCTTATCGACATCTACGAGGTCCCTGAGTTGCATTCAGGCGAAACGTTGGCGCGTGAATTCAACGAAATGCTCCAACGGTTCAATCTCTCAAACAAGGTCTGCACTTTCACCTCCTGTTTATGATTTTCCATCTCATGGGTTTCGAGATATTGGCCTGGACCGGAGACAACGCCACCTCTAACGACACACAAAATGACGCGTTGAGCAACAACCTTAACAACGCATTCGAGGCGGTCAACCGCGTGCGTTGCTTCAACCACACACTCAATCTCGCTGTCAAGGCGTTCCTTCGTCCATTTCAACCCCCCGAGAAGAAGAAGAAAGACGCAGGAGGAGATGACGTCGCCGATAGCGAGGACGATGCTATCCCTCCACTGGAGCTGGACGATGCCGAATCGTTGCAAGACCTAGCGGATACGACTGACAGTAAGTATTACGTGCAGCTCGTTGTCGTCCCATTACCGTTCTTCAACTTTTACAGACTTGTCGATTTTATCAGACCTGTCGGACGAAATCGATGAGGAGGGTGATGCTTACGACAAATTGAACGACGAACAGCGCGCAGCATACACGAAATCGTCTAAGTTACTCAAGACTGCTATTTCCAGGGTATGTCGCGCCTTCTCTTATTCATCATCTTGACAAATGTGCTTCAGATTCGTAAACTGGCCTTCTTCATCGTGAACTCGACAACTGTGGCTCTGCCGGCCTGGCGCAAAGCATGCCAGAAGCACCACATGCGAGTGCGCCTCATTCCTCGGGATGTCCGAACAAGGTGGAACTCGACCTACGATATGCTCGTTGTCGCGCTCGAATACAAAGAGGTCATCAATTCAATTACTGGCAACCGCGAACTCGAGGGCCTCCGCAAGTACGAAATATCTACACGCTTCAGGTATGTCTTTTCAGCAGCCTACACAGTACTCAAATTGTTCCGCATCAGGTTTTCAAGAACGCGACGACTGTTTTCTCCGCCGACAACAAAAGCACCATTGCGAACGTGATCCCAACGATGGATAAAATTGACGACCTCATCACAACCACGGTCGTGATCGAAGGGAAGCCCGACGTCCGAATCGTTGACCCCGCAATTAGTAAAGCTCTCCTGCTGGCAAAAGCAACACTCAACCGATATTATTCCCGGACAGACGACTCTAATGTATATCGAATTGCAATGGGTCAGTCTCGTTGTCTTGTTGAATTGATGGCTGACGTTGCGCACAGTCCTGCATCCCAGCCTCAAGCTCCAGTATTTCCGAACGCGTAACTGGGACCAGGAGTGGATTGACACCGCGCAAGAGCTCGTTGAAGATGAGTTCACAACCTACTATTCAGCCGTTGGCGCCGACTCGGATATCGAGATGGTCGATAATGCCAGTATGGCAGGGACTAGCAGTGGCGCGGTATATAGAATCAACTCCTTTGCTAGTTGTGCCGCTGACGTTCACTCAGGTCAGTCGATCATCCAGCATGGCGAACTTCGAAGATCTGTCCGACTTCTTTCTTTCCTACAACGTTGGCATTGCGGAGTCTGAACAGACTGAATTGCAACGCTATCTTGCGGAACCGGTGGACGGTGGTGTCAAGGACCCATTGTCGTGGTGGTGGGATCGTCGCATGACATATCCCCGCCTCTCTCGAATGGCCCTTGACTATCTTAGTGTTCCATGTGCGTGTTCAAGTTTCTTATTTCTTCCATTTGTTTGCTTATTGCTCTTAGCAACTTCAACGGCTGTTGAGAGAGTGTTTTCTCAGGGCCGCCAGCTCCTCGTATTCACTCGTAATCGGCTGAGCGGGGCCTCAATTCGGAAATTCCTTTGTTTTGGCAATTGGAGCCGCAACGACCTGGTGCGCAACGTTGATATTATTGACGCAATTGAGATAACGATGGGGCGCAAATCAAAGGGCAAGCGTAAGGCTGACGATGATGGTGATAATGTATCTACTTATAAGAAGTCCCATACCTAATGCGGCATGCTATAGTATTTCATCCTTTCTGTAATTATTCCATAACCTATTACTAGTTCATGAAATACATGCATGTAATAGCTCTGTTCTGACCCGCGGGACCTCCGGGTTCGGGTCCAGCCCGGGCCCGCTCGGGGACCGGGGTCGCCGGGGTCAGGGACCGGGTCACCTCGGAAATACCCGGACCCGGATCCCGTGCTCAACCCTAGCGGAACACGCAAAGCTAGTTGACGACCACCACGGGCTGTTAGATACCCACGAATCAAGAAGCATGGCTGCTACAGGCCCGGGTTCTCAATCATACTCATAGTAGAATGCTGAGGGTTGTGAGGATGAGTCTAAAGCTGTAATAAACCAGATATACGTACTTCGAGTTGGGTCATTCCAGGTCGAAGTTCTTCTTCATCGAGTTGTGAACTTGCAACAGTGTCCCAGCCCCACAACTCTGCAAGATTCGCAGTGGTGGTGTCAAAAGCTGGTAGTTGAGGGCCAATAAAGGCTATATCGCCATCGTCTGGTGAGGACATGAGGCCGACCGCAGAGGTTATTCGTCATAAGAAAGACTCGGACTCGGAACGTGGCTGCGATAAATCGTCAGAGTTGATAGACAAGGGGATTATAAATGGACCTACCGTCCGAGGAGGCAAGGCGTTGTCAGGAGACATAATTGGTGTGATTTGCGTCGAAGAACAAGATGGGCTGTTGAGTATTTGCAAGCGCCTTGTGAGGCCTGTCCAGTCCCTAAATGCGACCGGTGCAACACAAGACGATGACCATGTGAGTGCTGTTGACACGGTCAACACACCGAAAGGATAAAAAGAAGGTGCGTACCTTGCTGACTTGCCCCACATCTCTCAGTTCTTCCAACCATGTCGGTCTCCCCACTCTCCAACGCGACCAACCGTGCTGTCAACACAGAAGCCCTCACCCAGCGAATCCAGCTTGAGCTTGCACGCGCCAATGCTGGCAAGAAGTAAGTCCGAGTCGTTGTTGTTGCTTGTTGGTGTCGCGCTGAAAGAAGTGCAGATTGAGTGACGGTGACGATGTGACCGCCACTCTTCGCGACAACGGTCGTCGTCTGGTCTTCTTCCTCAACCCCTTCGTCGACCTCGCACCCATTGTCGAGTCCCACGTTAACCACGAGCTTCTTGGTGCCCAAGAAGACGAGACTCCGGCAGACATTGAAAAGTAAGTCTGATCACCTCTCGCAGCTGGTGCAATGTGCAGCATCTGGGTTATAGCCCAAAAGTGCAATGCACAACATGTGGGCTATTCTTATATCTCGATATATTATATTAAGGGAAGATGATATGACTAATATAAGGTCATATATAAGAAGGTAAATCACCTTTTCTTCAGGCCGATGATTCGATATGTAATATTATGGACTTAATAGAGCAGAAAGAGAATATCAATATTAAATTAAGTGGGAGTGATGCAAGATCACACAGTCATCAAAATCAGTGATCTCTTACAAAAATGGTTCCACACACAATAGATTACACAAGGAACATTGATCCCATCACTATATATATAATATAAGACACCAAAACAGTTAAAAGAGATAAAAATGAAATAAAATAATTCTTGCGTTGCAGGAGACTGGGTTAGATCCCATATGTTGTACATTGCACTTTTGGGTTATAACCAAGATGTTGCGCATTGCACCAGGTGTTCCAGCTGGTCTGATATCTTCTGCGTGCTGTTTCTGATTCACTACTCTCTTGCAGCCATAGATATGCTCAAGAAGTTGTCAAAACTGTTGGACTGTATGTCCATAACTTTGCCGCGGATATGGTCAACCTGGGAGGACAAGTAAGACTTCGCAAGCAAGTCTGCAAATAAGTGCGTGTTTTTCTCCCTCTGTTTACCGACTGAAAACTCTCAGGTTATGGGTGGCTTTCGCGCTGCCCGTTCAGACGATTCGGGAACCATCAACAAGGCCCTCACGAGGCTTCTCAACACCTTTTGTGGCGAACAACCTCTTCCCGGCACTACCCATTCGCCTTCGACCATCGCAAGCAACATTCTCGCCCTCTCCGTCAAATCCAATCGCGGCTTCACGAATCCTGTCACCGCTCGTCTCCTGGTTCCCATGGCTTATTCTAAAGACGATGGGTATGTTCTCATCTTTGTTGTTAATGATGCTGATGAATTGCAGGACCATTCAAGCCATTCGCGATGGCACTCTCCCAGTCAGCGCCCGAACAATTCCCCGCATTCATGTACCGGCCCGGCATGGCCTACGATGCGGCCAACATGGAGGAGGGGTTGTTGGATAACCCTTTCCTCTTTGCTGTGAGTCGCAACACCTATCACCATTTGTCTTGACCTGTTATAGGTGACGAAGCATCTCATTAAAGGCCCATCAACTGCTACCAAAGATGCTGGCGCTACTTACAATCGCACCGGAAAGGGCGGATTGGCTGGCTTGACGGTTCTGGGGCCCGCACAAGTTGCATATGTTGTTGTTCAGGTGCGAGCTCCCATGTCTATATTCATCTACTCACTCTCCACATAGGTTCAATATGCTCTCGCTGACCACAAATGGGTCCAGACTGACCGCCAGTTCGACTACTCGGCTTTCTATATCAACGTCAAGTCCCTCGTCGCAGATTCCGCGAGCACTTCCATTCTCGCCGCATTTAATCAGTACGTTGTCATTCTTTTTTACTTCTAACTAACATGTTATTCTAGCCACGTCTTTGGCTCCGGCCCTGGCTGCAACATCCGCAAACGCACCGCCTCTGCGATGGATTCCCCTACCAGCCCCTCCGACTTTGA